CTCCCGCCTCCCTCCAAAGTCCCACCCCCCTCCTCCTGCAACTCCACCTCCCTCCAAAGGCCTACTCCAAGACAACCAAGACAGTCAAACGCAACCCCAGAGTTTTAAAAGTTTTGGAATAAGGTTACAGTGCTAACATTAGATAGTAGCGTTAACGTTACTAGTAAGTGGAAACGCACAAGGAAGATAATGTTAATGTTTCAGAGGCTACGCTACAGTAGGCTAACGTTAGCCATTAGCATTAGCTGGATGCTGTGTTGTCATAAATAACGTTATAGCCTGTTACATTAAGAGGCAAACTAAACATAATGTTACCTGTCATGCACAGTCAAACACAACCCCGGAGTTTTGAAAGTTATCCAGGGTCAGTGATGACTGATGAGTTTTTTATAATATAACGTAAATGCTAACTTTAGATAGTACTGGTGACTCTTTCGGAGCTCCGCCTGGATCTTTTCATGGAAAAAACACTGTAGAATGGTCATACTTTGAGCAATCTTCTTCAAATTTGAAACAAATGTTCATTGATAGTGTGCCTACAGCCCCACAGTGTTATTTACCTGCTCAGATGAAGCCACAGACAGTTCTTCATCCTGAAATACATTTTTTATTTTATTTTAGGCAAAATCTTTAATTTTTTACTGACTTCAGAGGCCCATTACTCTGTCTCTGTATCACCTAGAGTGTTTCTGACACTTTCACAAGAAACTTCAGGGAGTTTTCTTTCTGGCAAGACCTCATGCATGCATGTAGCCAGAGTGGTTCAGAAGCTACAGTCATTTTAATTTGGGTATGTCATTTTAGGCGTTTTTGCTACAAAATGGGGGTGGAGTGCAAGAGCATTTTAACCTAAACAAAGAAAAGCGTAAAATGTCCAGTAAGTGTTGCTTTAAGAATGAGGTGAAAAGCTGGACAAAGGTTACATCTTGTAACAGCACAGTTTGCCAGTTTGTGGGTTGTTGTCATGACTTGTAGGATAAATAATGTGCGATGCCGGTGCAAAGTGCAAAACATTTCAGGGGCATTTAAGATACGATTTTGTTGCTGGAAAATATGACCAAGGATTTCAAAAGCTTTTGCTGCTTTACTCTTCTGAACAACAACAAAGTTGCACATTTTTAGAATATTACAAGTAAATATTTGATGAAACCTCTGATGTGAAGTGAACTGTTTTTGTTGTTGTTGTTGTTGTTGTTTTCTACTCTCCATTCTTACTTTAACTATTATTTCAGCTCCCATGTGTTGTTGTTGTTGTGTTCCTTTTATACCTGACATTTGTTTGTCCATTGTATTGTTGAACAATACTGTGACAACCGACCCGGTCTCCCCTACAATGCCTGGTAGTTTACACTGAGCGCGCTCCCGAGGAATGCATGCACATATGGCGGGCAGACACAACTGTAGTCAAAAGTTCAGATGCATGTTTCATCTCCAGTCTGCCTCTGTTACAGAGATATTAAAATCTGTGTTCCTGTTTGCTGCAGCCTGCACGCTGTTCCCGCCATCACGAGACGGGCGCGCCTTCCATTCAAAGCAGCACCCATGGGACGATCTGAGGGTGTGTGAGGAAGAAGACCACAACAACAACAACTGCGTAACACCTCACTAACGTACCTGGTATCTGTCCTCCGGGATCAGGTCGTGATCTCTGAGCTGGCTGAGGAAGATGTGCGGGTTCTCCATGCAGGACAGTTCAGTTTTATGGCGGCGGAAGAACCGAAGGAGTTCTTCCTTCTCCATCCAGAACGTCGGCTCCGTCATGCTCCTGGCTGCAACCACCTCCACCCAAACCTCTGCACACACACCAGAGAGACCACAGAGAGACCACAGAGAGACCACAGCTGCTCCACAGGTCAGGAGGTGTCACATCCACAGTGTGGCACTGAGTAAAGTGATTTATGGAGGCTCCCTCCGCTGCAGTTCCTCCCTCCGCTGCAGTTCCTCCCTCTGCACACTGTCCTGCTCCAAAGTTCAGGGTTTAGACAGTTAAAGTAAAAATGCCGCAGCAGCTCACTGTACTGTGTCACATAGAAAAACAAAGCAGATTAAAACAGGCGGGAGTCTCTCCAAGTCCGATCAGAGCGGATCTATCCACAGCACAACCCTCTGTCTGCAATGTGATCTCATTTCCTCTCTTTGATGACGTTTCGAAAGTGAAAGTTGGAGGAGTTTTTTCTTCCTCCCAACAGTATGTCTCTGCAGACCCGGAGACTGCAGATTCAGACCCGCAGTTCTAGACCCCTTGTTTTTCGTCCCCTACTGGACGGCTGTATAACTGCAACTAAATCAGCGTCTCACCCAAACACCACTGTTTGAAAGAAGTTGGACTTTTAATGCTTTATTACAATTTACAATTTTAAAATTTTATTACACCCGAATAAAAATACCAAGATTTAATTGTTGATTTATGCCTGGGTGCTGTTCTGCAT